ATCTCTAGATGAATTTGATACAATTGATAAGAAAGATGTGAAAATTCGACCACTGAACATTGGGTTAAGTAGGCCCATACTTACACACATTCCGGAGAGTAAAATTATCAATGACCCAGTCGATATCGATAGCAACGATCAAGTCTCTCATGCCATATGCTCCCAAGACGTTTACATGTTCGAAGTGTGAGCCCACCTCGGAGACACGGCATTCAATGATTTTGCTCTGATCCTAGGAGTTTTAAGATAAGGTTTGTATTCTGGAATTATACAAACCTGGACTCGATGCTGTCTCTCATACTCGCTTGATAGAGATCTAGCACTGCTTCATGTTTCCTATTCTTGTTTCTCATGTAAATACAAACTTATTTTCAATCAAAAAGTATAATTTGTTCATTGTTTCTTTCTCAACCCCAAATTGCGACATCAGCACCTTGCCATGTTTCACATTTTCATTCTAAGAGTTATATGACGTTTTCCTCACTCTATGCTGGAAGCGACTTGAAATTCAGTGATATCAACTGTGAAAGAAAGATCATGTTGTTAATGTTCATGTTAACGAATAATTGGACAATTATCATGATAAGTTATCAGTTAGTTAAGAGGGCCGGTAATGAAGAGTTAAGATTCGAATCGTTGAAGACGAAATGTATATGAGCTCCAGTTGATAATCGGCGAAGCTTTTAACCGTGCCAATGCGTCCATTCCCAAGATATCCGCATGCTCGAAGGCTGAACCCACCTTGGAGACCATGCATTCCACGACCAAGTCCGGTTCCTGAAAGTCTTGAATAGATTATCATAAATTGGAGTTGTACAAACTTGAACAAAAAATCTGTAGTAACCTCTGGGGTTAACATTGCCTTCACCTACAAAAGCTTCAAGTGTCTTGACGCTTAGGCAGGTGAATGCCGCGTTCGTATCAACCACACACCACACATTGAGGATTTTCGATGTTGGGTCTCGCTCATTTTGGAAAACCAGTGGAACCATTTGCCTATTTCTGTGACCATACAACATGCCTTCAACCGGAAACGCTGGAGTTGGGAACACGGCGTCACTCAAATGTTTGACATCGTGATCATACTGAAACTATAACAACAGAAGTAATCAACGAGAACAAAACAAAAACTTACGTTGTTCTTTCTTTCATAATTAATTTCTTTCATATCGGCGTTGTACTCATCATAAGTATGATACAGATGCTCGAAACCAGTATATGTATCAATAATGTCATCAAAACTACTGTCGGTCATGATGCTCGGTAGATAGAGAAACTGAAACGTTAAATCGTTGACATGAAATATTATTTTTGTTTGACGAAACGCTCCAACTCTTCAAAATCATTTCGATGAAGAGATGTTGCAAATTGAGGATGAAAGAGTTAAGATGGATGAATTATAATACTCAGAAAAATTATATTTACACGGAAAATTAAGACAGATAAGAGATTAAGAGCAAATCATCTACAAGCTAATTGCATAGTCATTATGAACGATAATCAGTGAGTTCTGAAGTAAAATTGATTCGGAAGGGATAAACAGCTTCGATTGTATACTAGCGTCATTTACTGTTGCATCCGATTACTGTAGTATCGAGAATGCCAGGGGGGCGGAATGCCGCTGCGTTAGCGTCTCACGACTTCGATCAAACGATTCCTATGCTGACATGATATTCGGCGAGAAACCTCTCTTAATCATCATTCAACCCTGATACTTTCACTCTCTCTCTCCCTCTTTTACTCTAAATATTGCTTAATGCTGAAAGAAACACTTCCTTCTCTCTTAGCATGATTCAAAGAGAGGGGGGATTTCCTATTTTCGTCGCTATTCCGTGACCAAGAGTGTTCACGTTTTGGCCAACCTTCATGGTGTTAGAAAGCCCCTTGAAGATGAGCCTCGAGACCATTTTTTTTGCTTCTTTTCACCTTGCTATTCCTGACTCTCTCTACTAATGAATTATAGTCCATTATTGATAATAAAGATAAATATTCAAAAAAAAAAAACTGTCGATGATGAACAGCTCTAGATCATTCACAAGCTTTAATCGCCTCCATAATCGATACAACATAACAAAAACCGGAAAACTGAAGGTAATAATGCTCCAGGAAAGACAGTTTGAGATCTCTAGATGAATTTGATACAATTGATAAGAAAGATGTGAAAAT